TCTGAACCAGAGCTGACCAAACTCTAAAATTCAGACTGTAACCACTGCAGCTAGTACACCATTCAAAGTTGAACAAGCAAAATACAACATTGTAGTTTTAGAATTATTACTTTATAATAATTTAATATAAGTATGAACACCTTTGAATATTAATTACAAAAAGGAGAGAAAAAGAGATCATGCACAGGTTTCTATATACCGAGGGCTAAAAAAAGGGCAAGCAATAGTGTTGAAATAGCTGAACTTTTTGCAATCTAAAAGCAAACACTTAAGGATCATGTATTGTTCAACATTAAAATAATACATGGAATAAATGGAATAGCAAATCAACACTTCTTTGATCTAGGTTACATGAGCTAATGGAGTATGGAATTAAGACATGGATTGCCATTCCCACAAAATAATATAACACTAACCTGACCATTATTTTCCTAAAAGGAAAAATAAAGCCTAATCTCCAAATTGAAAAGCACTTTACAGTTTTTTATTGTGTCAATGTCCAGATATGGCACATAATGTAGAGTTTTGTTATAAATGCATTCACGTTTGCTAACTCACTTGTTAAATTCATCTTGCTGTCCATGTGCCCACATCCTACTTATGTCTAGCAGAAACATTAGGATTGTCAACTCAATGGTAAGCAAAATATATAAGATCAAAACCCTCATTTTCTTTCCTAATAAATAAATGAAGAAAATAAAGTTACAGAATGAATCTGCAAACACCTACAGGCAAGCAAAGTTATAACCAGAAGCCAACATGGGTTTGTCAAAAACAGATCATGCCAAACAAATCTTGTCACATTTTGGCAAAGTGACTAAATTAGTGGACCAGAGAAATGCTACAAACACAATAAACTTGGACTTTAGTAAGGCATTTGATAAAGTAGACCACAATCTACTTGGTAAGATAGAAACCTACTACTTGATAATATAGAAAAATGTGGGTTAGACAGCATAATCACCAGATGGATTTGTAACTGGCTGACTAAGCGCACTCAGCAAATGGTCCTCAACAGAACTACATGTACATGGAGAGAAGTATGCAGTGGAGTACCTCATGGTTCTGTCTTAGGCCCAGTACTCTTCAATATCTTCATAAATGATTTAGATGAGGGGATAGAAGGTGAACTCATCAAATTGCAGTCGTCACCAAGCTGGCGGGATTAATCAACACACCAGAAGATAGGCTCAAGATCCAGAAGGATCTTGATAGACTTGAACACTGAGCCCTATCCAACAAAATGAAATTCAATGAGAAAAGCAAGGTTTTACACTAAGAAAAACTATATACACAGATATAGAATAGGTGGTACCTGGCTCAACAGTAATAACCATGAGGGATCTAGGAGTCCTAATGGGCAACTATTTAAATATGTGTCAGCAGTGTGCTGCAATTGCCAAAAAAGCTAACACAGTCCTATGCTGCATTAATAAAGAGATAGACTCAAAATCACGTGAAGTGTTAGTATTATTTTATAATATCTTTGTCAGACTACATATTGCATCCAGATTTGGTTGCCACAATATAAAAAATAAGTTGAGACTCTAGAAAGAGTGCAGAGGTTATTAAGGGACTGGAGACTAAAACATAGGAAAACGGTTGCAGGAATTGGGTATGTCTAGTTTAATGAAAAGAAGAACTACAGGTGACATGATAGCAGTCTTCCAATATCTAAGTGGCTGCCACAAAGAACAGGGGGTCAACTTATTCTCCAAAGTATCTGAAGGCAGAACAAGAAGCAATGGATGGAAACTAATCAAAGAGAGAAGCAATCTAGAACTAAAGAGAAATTTCCTGACAGCAAGAATAATCAACCAGTGGAATGGCTTGGCTTCAGAAGTTGTGGGTGCTTTATCACTGGAGGTTTTTAAGACGAGATTGGACAGCCATTTGTCTGAAATGATATAGGGTCCTCTGCTTGAGAGGGAGTTGGACTAGAAGACCTCCAAGTTCCTTCCAGCTCTATTATTCCGTATTCATAAAATATACCCTCAAAATACAAATCCTTTCCCTTCCCACCATTATAGCTTTGAAATTTTTATGTTTTTCAAGAATGGCAGAGGTGGCACAAAGAACAGAAATCAAGCAACCAACACAAATAACTGCAACTGGAGCAAACATGGCCAGGTAATGGATTTCAGTTCAGAATCTAGGACTGATTGTAAGGGAATGAATTTAGTGTGACATGCCGAGTATTCATGAGAAATAATTGCCAGTGCTCAATTGCCAGAGAGTACTTTCATATACTGGCAATTCCCGGATAGGAGAACCCAAGTATTTATGACATCTACTGCCCTTTCAAACTTTGTTTGCTGTCTGAAACACTAATATAACCCTAATATATCTATAATATATTAGGCATCTATATTAGCAGCTATAGATGCCAAGAACATCAGCATGATAAATATGTGATGGTAAATGGTGGGAGGACATCTTTACCTTCCTTAACCATAAATGTGACTAGATTCCTTATTTGACACTAATAAAGAAAAGCCAGATGTTGACATTAATATGTTTAACACTATTTAACCAATAATCACTGTAAACCAGTGGTTCTCAACCTTTTTAATGCCGTGACCCCCAACTGGTCGTAAGTCGAGGACTAAACCAGTCATAAGTTGAGGACTAAATCGGTCATAAGTCGAGGACTACCCAACTGGTCGTAAGTCGAGGATTTTCCCTGCCCAGGAGCGCCGCGCATGTGTGGTGCTGCCCCCCGTGCCGGCCAAGGCATAGCTGGCAAGCGGCAGAGACGGAGCAGACCGACCACCGGCTGGGCCACCAGCTGGCCCAGCCCAAGGGAGGTAAGGCACCCACCGGAAAAGGGGGAAAAAATGGCAGACAGCCTTGCTTGGCGACCCCCGTGAAATGGTCGATCGACCCCAAATGGGGTCGCAACCCATCGGTTGAGAACCGCTGCTGTAAACACTGTTTAGAATGGAAAAATGGTTGTGCAATATGTCAGAATTAAAGATTCCTGTTGCTTAGAAAAGCATTATGTTATTGGCTACTGGAAGCATAAAGCCTTTATATTTTGTTCTAATACCAACACTGATTTAAATATAGTAATAAGGAGGTTGATATAGAACACTCTATGACTACATTTTATAAAAGGATCCTTTTATGATATTTATTTTATAAATATCATCTGAATGGCTTCCTATTTTTTTTTCTTTAAAATCTCTTCCAGATCTTCCTAATAAACTCAACGCTAATCTGCTATTTAAATCTTATCTTCATGCTTTCCTTTTTTGCTGGTCCTTAGATCAGGATCATCTTTCTTGATACAACATTTGGCTTTCTATGTTTTTTCAATTCCGATAATGAAATTCTTTAATTTTCTTCTTTTCTAATTTGTCATTTTTTAGTCATGGCAGGCTATTCCATTTAAATACTTCCCTTATCCCCATTGCTTTGGAATTCTATCAATAACAATTGAAAATCATTGTTACTGTAAGTTCATAACCAGATAAGACATTGTATGTTTAGTCATTATAAAGCACAAATCTGCAATATGTGTATTATTATTTCAAGATCACTTATTATAGTCTCAGTTTAAAAACATCAATAATGATCCATTTTTGGCTGTGCTTTTAGATGAACTATAGCTTGCTCAGTCACCCCAAAGCCATAATTGTCTCATTAAAAGACTTGTTCTCTTTCTTTGAAAAAAGGGAGGGAAACATCATGATATGTTTAGTGAAAGAATCTACCTTTTCTTAAAAACTTCCTTAAAATCAAATGAAGTGCTGTTTTTTTTCTTTCTCTAATAGATGAGATGAGATATCCAAGTCCTTTGCCAGTAGCAAAACTGCTAAAAAACCACTGACCTGACACTACAGAGACTTGAAGTAAGTGAAGATGGTCTAAAATTAAAATCAATTGTATGGGTTCTATTTCAAATAAAAGAAGAAAAAAAAGCCAGGTTGGCTGGCATTTCCAGAAGTCATACATTCGAATCTACCCAATATGAATATCAGGGTAAACATCTGAAGACAGACTGAATAGCTGAGAATAAAGATGTTAATTCTTATTGCTCTTTCTTTTGAAATATAACAAATCCATCCCTAAGATAAACGAAAAGAAAGAAAGCAGACAAATCAAATCCTGTATGACTCCTGGCTATAGTTCAGCCTGTCAATGATACTATAGATATATTCTATAGACATTCACCTGGCTGAGAGTCAAACAGGTGCACAGAATGATAAAAACTGTATCTTGCCAACTTGACAGAAAGATGAGGAAAGCAGATCATATGGAATTTTTTACGGGTTAATCATAAATCATACTTCAGGCAAGCAGGTCACGACTAACAAAATACAGGGAATGACAATGGAGGGCTGGGTTGCAATATAACAAAAAGATTATTTTCCAAGAGAACATAAAATTTTTAACAAGTGATCATTTGTTTAGTCTTAGTATTGCTGATGCTCAGCACTATTTCTGTGAAGATTTTCATTCCTTTTTCATTGCTATTATCCTCAACCTATTCCAAGATGGCATTTTATTCTGTAGTTTCCTAGCTTTTGAGAGGGATCCTGACTACACGATAAAGCAATTTTCTCTTTCTATTAACAGTAGATAAATAAGTGATCAAAGTATTACAGCTATGCAGATTTTCAACAGTAACGGGTGGGCAAACTAAGGAAGGAAGGAAGGAAGGAAGGAAGGGAGGGAGGGAGGAAGGAAGGAAAGAAGGAAGGAAGGAGGGAGGGAGGGAGGGAGGGAGGGAGATGATGATGAGGAGGAGGAGCTGTTTATACTGTTTATACAAACGAGGTAAAGTATTCCTGCATGGAACAGAGCATAGTAAAGCAACAAGATCCTGAGACTTCAAGGATTCAAACCACTACAAAGTGAGGAGGTTACCCCAACTCTTTTTAGTAATATGCACCTAAAATAAATATCATATCTACTAAGTACATACCAACTAAGCTGTTCTTGATTTTCCTAGCTTCCCTCTGAGATAACTAGTTTAATTCATACACAGTCTTTACCTGAGAGCCGTCTGGGCACATCGGTGATGGCAGGAAGCCCTGTGCCTCGTGTGGAGGACAAGGGAGTTGTGGAATGAATGGATGGTGAAGTCATCTGGCTCAAATATGATGGGTAAGACTGGTCATAGGACCATGGAGGGGATGACTGTGCTTGTCTGGGGTCTAAAAACAAAACAAAAGAGAAAATAATTTAAAATGAAAGGCAGACAGGAACAGTTGGTGGAGACGGAAAGTCTAAGTATGATATGTAAGATGGGAACATGTGAGAAGAACTGCAAGCACTGGGTCTTTTTTTCCCCTTTTTACTATTCAGAACTGACAACATCAGGCTGACTCCTGAAACTTGAAACTAAGAAGTATTCATGTAAAATGAAGCCCAGTTTGATTTCAGTGAGGCTTTTGAGGATTGCAGCTGAACGATATGTCCAATACAAGACTGATCAAATGCTTTCCAAAAGGAAGATTAACTTCCATTTAATAGCTGATGTAAAAACCATGATCAGTGATGAAGGTCCAGAAGTTAGGAACTCTGATATTAAGAATCTTCAAGGACATGGGAAATGAGGCACAACAGAAATAAATCTAAAATGAGAAGGGACAACAGAATCCTGGATGATTTCATTTCAGAACGATGGTTATAGTTTTCAGCTCTTTAGACTTTTATTATTCCAAGCTTTCTCTGAAAGAATTTATTACTTGTGAAACACATATTGGAATCCTAGATGTTGGAGATAACAGAAACCAAAGTGGAACACATACACACATGCACGCACGCACACACACACACACACACAAACATACATACCAGGAAATATCAAAATAGTGCCCTAAAGAAAATTCTGGGGAACCCAACAGCATAATGAATACCATTCTACAATAATGACTGTATTTCTAATAGACACTTGGTGAAAAAATTTCAGTTTGCCTTATGACACAAACTTGTCACGGGGCAAGATAATATATTTAAAAAGTATTTTTAAAAACTAGAACTAGCAACAGTTTAATATAATTTACATTATTCCTAATCCAACCAAGTGTGTGTACTCTCTTTCTCTGCACTAACTTACATTTTTTGACGATTCTTTGACAGGCTTTCCTACTGCTGGAGAATGAAATAATTTTCCATTGAAAATGTGATTATATGAAGAACATTTAAATAAAACTCCTATTATGCTAGACATTTATATATAATTTTGCAAGGACAAGACCTCCTCTCTATCACCCCAGAATGGAAACCACAGAATGAGGGATGTAAACTACAGAAAATCAGATCTGACTGAAAGAACTACCTAATTATAGGAGCAATGTGACAGTGGAACCAATACCTAGAGAGAGGTGGTGGGTTCTCCTTTACTGGGTGGATTCAGAGCAGATTCAGGTGTTTGAGGGCTGTTCCAACTCTCTGATTCAAAGATTCTAGCCATTGTTGCTTGGTCATTGTCCCTCTCCTTATTTAATCCCCTGCTACTAACTTTACAATCTGTTAGTGAAGATGTCATATTTCCTATTTCCTTCTGTATGTATGTGGTTTGGAAGGGATGGGAATTTAAACTAATTTCAAAAGAGAAATACCAGTTTTAGGAACAGGCAGAAAATAGGCAGAAAATAAGATAGGAGATTAATTTATCCAATAGGAACATTTCATCCATCTAGATCCAATGGTTCTTAAACTTGGATATATCCTGGGGTAATGGAGCAATTTGTATATTCTTGCTTGTAATTTGAGAATGTAGTTGGGGACAGACACTTGTGTAAAACAAGAATATGTTGGGGGGTATTACATTATCTGAGGCAGGGAAAAGGAATAATTGGATCAAATAATTTAAGAATCACTGATCTAGGCTATAACATGTAATTTGGTAGGTTGAGACTGAAGCCTTTTCTGGACTTACCAAAAGATGCTAGAAACCATGTTTGGAAACTTTTATCCAAGTGCTATGTTTGTTGTGTGAAAGTGATACAGTGAGAAAGTCCTGTAAATTCTTTTAGTATTTGCACAGGATTATACACATCAGGAAGTCAGCACAATTACTTGTCAATTTATATTAAAAATGATATATTGCTTGTTGGTTTCTGACAGTTACTTTGCTTTTCAATCCCACTTCACAGAATATTTTGATCTGAATCAAATAATATTTTCATCTGAATCAACTTTCATTTCCTGACTGGAAAAATAAGCTGGAAAAGAAGTTCCCTGTTAACAGTATCAAGCAATGCAGGACTGAAAAGAAGAACTTGTTCATCCATGCAAGAGAAATTGCTTTCTGATTCTTCTGGGAAGATATTTGAGCAGCAAACCATTATCTTTTCTGGAGCACTTCTATTTATAGAATAACTGTATGTTAATGTAATTTTACCACTGTTTTGCAAATAGAGACCCGTGTATAATAAATTAGCTGGCAGAAGAAAATTTTTCTGCCATTCAGGAAATTTATATAATCACAAGAAAAACATTTTCTCTCCCTCTCTAACATCTTGTAGATTCAGCTTTTCCCCTTCCACTATTCAGACATGATTTGCTTGAAGATAAAAGATGGATGGATGGATGGATAACTTTATTATACTTATTACACTTTAAGTGCTTCCTAAATGCAAAAAAATTATTTTGTTTGCAATTTTAGGGATGAATGTCCTAACTTTATTTCAATGCTAAGTAGCTGCTAATTAAATATAGTAAAATATATCAATACTATAATTCATTACTTAGCACATTATAAAAGATTTCAGAAAGAATTTGGCTGAGAAAGGTTTTGCTTAACAAAAGCAAACTGATTATTAGCAATAGGTTAGAGTAGATACCTAAAGAAAGTGCAATCTGATTTTTTTTTCTTTTACATTCAAATTCCAGCAGAGTAGGTAGCATAACAAATGCCAATAACAATTAAACTAACATAGACAGACAAAAGCTTAAAATCCAAAACTTTTCTAAATCAGGATACCAGTAAATGTTGCCAAGCTTAGGTCCGCTAAAACTTATGTGTGGAGCTGCAGGAGCTCCAAAACAGTGTCCAGCTTTTGAGATGATGCTTGATGATTTCTGAAACTTCCCTATATATATATATATATACATATACATACATACATACATACATACATACATACATACATACATACATAACTTATTACATGCACCTTTTCAAGAAAAACCACATTATATGCTTATGGTATTTGTATTTAACTATCTGCATTAAAGTAGAGAAGAGGATAAGGTTCAAAAACCAATTATGAAAAAAAGACGGCAGAGGTTTTAAGCATATATTTAAGCATTTAAAAGATCTTAGAAAGAAAACAATGATACAAGCTACAACAGGTAAGACAAGAAACAAATGCTTTCAGCAACCAAGGTGCATATTTAGACTGAATCATAGAAATAATTATGTATGAGTGATTCAGAAGAAGGAAGAGGGGCAGTGATAGCAATAGAGGTCTAGGAAAAAGCAAAAGCATTTGCTTCGGAAATCTAGGCACTGTGGTGATAAACATCTCCTGAGGTCTCCTGAAATTAGGGAGAAGGAATAGTTTCAAGTAAAACCACAGATTTCATGATTCTTATCTCAGTTTCTTAATGTAAAACTCTTACTCCCCATCCTGCACATAGCATTTTTAGCTATTTCTTACACTGAACTGTGCTTCCCAGCCTATGGTAATCCCATCCTCATTTTGTGAAACGTAACCAATTGTTTTAAACACGTCAATAGCAAAGAAAGCTATTTTTTTAGTCTGTGGTGAACAATGAAATATGATTATGGTTTCTGGAATATTATGCCAAGTAAAAATAAAAATACCTTTTGCATGCAAAGATTCCAGATCACATATAACTCTTTAGAATTAAAACAAATAATATTCATATTAGAATTAAATACAAATGGACAAATCCACATCATCTAAATAATAATAATAATAATAATAAAGTTGGAAGGGACCTTGGAGGTCATCTAGTCCAACCCCCTGCTGAGGCAGGAAACCCTATACCATTTTGGACAAATGGCTGTCCAGTCTCTTCCTAAAAACTTCCAGTGTTGGAGCATTCACCGCTTTTGGAGGCAGGTTGTTCCACTGGTTAATTGTTCTGTCAGGAAGTTTCTCCTTAGTTCTAGGTTGCTTCTCTCCTTGATTAGTTTCCATCCGTTGCTTCTTCTCCTGCCTTCAGGCGCTTTGGAGAATAGCTTGACTCCCTCTTCTTTGAGGCAGCCCATGAGATACTGGAACTCTGCTATCATGTCCCCCCCCCCGTCCTATTCTTCGTTAAACTAGACATACACAATTCTAGCAGCCATTCCTTATATGTTTTAGCCTCCAGTCCCCTAATCATCTTTGTTGCTCTTCTCTGTACTCTTTCTAGAGTCTCCACATCTTTTTTACATCGTGGTGACCAAAACTGGATGCAGTATTCCAAGTGTCACCTTACCAAGGCATTGTAAAGTGGTATTAATCTCTCTCTTTCAGTTAATTAACAGAAAAAACTGCACTCTGTAAGTGAGACTTTTATTGCATAATATCTATTATAGACCCTGCACATTGCTTAACCCCTGAATGGCTTTTTTAGGAGTCATTTTCTGTGGCTCTAAGATAATTCACCCCGGTTGACTCACCCCAGCCAACTTGCTGACAATATACAGGGAATCCCAAAACCTTTTAATAAGAAAGACCCTGGGTTTGTTTTAAGATATAATTTGCTGGGTGGTAGACAGATGCAGATGAAGCATAACAATAGATCTCTCACCCATCCACCTGCCTATGACATGCCTTCACTCTAAAAGATGGGCAAAAGGGAAGAAATAAGTTGAGCGAATCACTAACTCCTATTTGCTAAAAAGATGGTTTTGTGAAACTATTTCAAAGTGATTACTAATACTTGCCCTTCTATAGGAGTAAGATGAAAGTGCCTCTCTACTCCAAGTCGTTTAGAGTAAGGTCTGGGAATGCAGAGATTAAAAGGTACCCAAGAAAAGCACTAGATATGTTGAAAGCATATTATGGAAAATCTCACAAATCAGCTACTCTGGTGGGTATTGCCAGTCACTAAGAACACAATCAAAACCTTGCCAGAAAGACCAGTGGTAAAGCCATGGTCCATGACAGCTAGATGGGAACGTCCCTTAAGGGCAGTTAACATATATTGCAGAAATATGTCTGAGAACTATCATCCATGACCATGTCAT